CACAACCGTTACAACGTTTAAAAAATAATAACTATTATTATTACTCTTTTATACACAGCTATATGTAATACAATGCAAATAATATTTGTAAAAAAACTGATACTATAACTGTTATTATTAATTTCGAAAAAACAATATAGTTAATAATTATTTATAATTTATTTTGGTCTCAAATCTTTTATTTATAAGCCGTTATTAATTATTTTTATCTTTTTTGTATTTATAATGAAAAGAAAATAATAATTATTACATAAAATTTGTAATACTTGGGACATATTGTTATGCAACATGAATGTTATTCAAGAAATACATTTATTTTTCGCTATTTATATAAGGTTAGCCCGTATGTGGTTCGGTAAGGATGGTTTATAAGGGTGGGGGTTAGATAGGTTAGGGGTAGGTGGATAAGAGGTATGTGATTCAACTGGGATAACTCGCTTATGGTCTAAAATTAAATTATTTCAAGAAATACCAATCGACTAAAGTTGCTTTTCCCATGATTAGGTGGGTTAGCCTGCATGTAGTTCGGTAAGGGTGATTTATGGGGGTTTGGTTGGTTATAGGCAGGTTGGTTAGTTGAGGTAGCTTGCTAATGCATAGGATTAAATTATTTCAAGAAATAACAAACGACTAAACTTGTTTATCTCAGGGTTAGGTGGATTAACCTGCTGATAGCTTGACGGGGGTAGTTTCTAGGGGGTGAAACACCCCTTAAACATTTTTTTTTAAATCCGGAAACACGTCAATTTAATTTTGGTATTTTCTCATTATCAGTGCGATTTTTAAATCACTCGAGCTGATTTACTATATTACATATCGTAAAACGTTAAAAAAATAGTGTATTTACCCCTATTAAAAAGGGGGTTGCAACCCTTCGGTATAAATGTTATGTTCTTCAAAGCGCCTTTTTATAAGAAATTTTTTAACGTTGAGTTTACTGAAAAATATTCATTTGATGCTGAGAAATATTAAAAAAGCTGATTTTAGGGGTTGATTTCCAGGGTGGATTTCACCCCTTAAAAGCCCTTATGGACCGATAAAAAAAAACATGTATCTAATTTTTTTTCAAGTACTACAACATATTCCAACATCATTTAAATCGGTGAGGTCGGGCTGGGATGGTTCCCTTGTTAGTGATTCTCCTTGCTGAACTTGCTAACGAAGGCCACCGATGATTTCGCGTTTGAATTTTGCGAATTCTAGACCGCTGCCACCACTGTAATATTTCCACCTTTCTCTCTGCGCTTTTGGTTTGCGCGCGCAACACACGGAAATTCATATAGAAATTAACGCGGTTCAGGTAACTTGGGAAAAAGAAAAGACCAAATTTTACTTTTAAAGAGGATTTAACTACCCGTAAGCCTCTATACAGGGTGAGTCATTTTAATTTCCCCAGTCTAATAACTTTTGAAACAAGCAAATTACGCAAAAATGTTTCAGACCAAAGTTGTAGGGGTTCAAGGGGGACATCTAGGGGTGACTTTGAAATTGACCTTGAGCTTGACCTTGACGGCTTTCTCAAGGTCAAGTCTATTTTTTTATTGGGAACCCTTATTTCTGACCTCGGAATCGGAAAGAGCAGGAAATTTTACAGGATTTAAATTTTTTAAATTTAAAAATTTTTTAAATTTAATTTTTTTAAATTTTACGGGACTATTCTTGTTTCCGTTCCCTATCCTTTTTTATTTTTCACCGGACTGTATGATTATTATTAATAAATTTCAAATATTGGAAGTTGTTGCTAATAATTTGCTATTACAAGTCTATTAAATTAATGAAACTATTTCAGTATCAATCTGATGTTCTGCAAAGAAATAAGAGTAAAAGTTAAATACATAAGGATAAATTTCATGTTCAATGAAGAATCTATTACATTTGGAAGTCGTTTAGAAAGTAATCGCAATACGTTCAGTCGTGATTTCAATTTTGAAAAAGCTTTAAATATTACTTTTGTTTTAACCATGCTTGTGTTCATTGTATCACTATCATTATTTCTTCATATTTGAATAAGAGACCTTTCTTATTGCCATCGATCATATGAAATCTAATTTGGACAATATTGCCTCTGTTTTCAGTAATATTTAATTTGTATCATCTTTCTATGATCTTTGCCTTTGTTGATTTGTATTGAGGTTTTTTGAAAAAATCTTTTAAATATGGCTGATTTTACCCCAACAGAGATAGTTGATATGATTTGGATTTTAGGAGAATGTAGAGGTAATTACCGTGAAGCGTCAAGGTTGTATCGAATTCGATACCCACAAAGGCGCCATCCTGATCACCGTACCATTCATCGTCTTGAAGAAAGAGCTCGAGAGAAGAAGAAGAAGAAAGGGCATCTACGAAGAAGTCGACCAAGACATGAGTATGATGATAGAGATGCTAGGGTTTTGGTTGTCTTAGGATTGGTTCACCTAAATCCTCATATCAGCAGCCGACAAATAGAGAGAGAAACAGGAATACCTCAGAGAACCGTTATTAGAATTTTAAGAAGTAATAGATATCATCCGTATCATATTACCTTAACGCAAGCATTAAACGCTAATGATATGAGAAACAGAGTAAATTTCTGTGGGCTCTACAGATGATTTTGCAGGATCCGAATTTTTTTAATTATGTCCTTTTTTCTGATGAAGCTACGTTTCATAGTACTGGCCAATTGAATCGTCACAACAGTCATTAGTGGTCTGATCAGAATCCTCACTGGTACAGACCAGTCGATAATCAACATCGTTGGAGTGTAAATGTATGGTGTGGAATAGTTAATGGTCATCTCATCGGGCCATTCTTTTTTGAAGAAAACGTCAACGGCAATGCTATTTTAGAACTTTTAAGGGATCATCTCCCACTTTTACTTGAAGACGTAGATCTTGAGACTAGACGTCGAATGTGGATACAACTGGATGGTGCAGGACCGCATTTCGCTTTAATTGTACGAGAGTTTTTAAATAGAAATTTCCAACAAAGGTGGATTGGAAGAGGTGGTCCAGTTGCTTGGCCTGCACGATCACCGGACTTAACTTCCCCAGATTTCTTCCTTTGGGGATACTTAAAAAATACTGTGTTCGCTGAAGCGCCCACAACAAGGGAGAATATGATAGAAAGGATTAGAGTTGCATGTAGACAAATCTCTAGAGATATCTTACTGCGCACTATTGAAAGCTTCGAACAGAGGCTCAGGCAATGCATCGACGTAAATGGTAATAATTTCGAGCAAAACCAATAGGAAATAAGTTTATTCTAGTTTCATCACGAATTGTGAGAGGCAAGGGGACTCACATTAATAAAGCACCCCAAATCGTGAGAGGCAAGGGGATTCACGTTAATAAAGCACCCCGAATCGTGAGAGGCAAGGGTACTCACGTTAATAAAGCACCCCAGAGGGAACATAATCCTATTACGTCCACGTCGTTGTTCCTGGGTAGTGCTAAAGATAGGAAGTTTATGATCTTAAACATCAGCATCGTTAGTACATGGCCAGTCCCTTATTCTTTGGAAGTTTATTTAACAACGGTCATATGCGATAAAAGCTTCGCCTCGAAATGTAACAAAAATAAGAGAATTTTCAAGAATTTGACCTTTGCTTCACATTGAGAATAGAAGTACGACAAAGGTCTTCGATGCTCGTTAAACCTTTTGATGTTTGAAAGCGGCTTCAATTTCTTAAGTAAAAACTGAAATATTGTTTATGTTCTTATGAAAAAAAACTAAATAGATACTTGAACGTAAAATTTCTCGCTCTTTCTGATCCTGAGATCAGAAATAGGGGTTTCCATTAAAAAAATAGAAATGACCTTGAGAAAACCGTCAAGGTCAAGCTCAAGGTCAATTTCAAAGTCACCCCTAGATGTCCCCCTTGAACCCCTACAACTTTGGTCTGAAACATTTTTGCGTAATTTGCTTGTTTCAAAAGTTATTAGACTGGGGAAATTAAAATGACTCACCCTGTATATATTTTATAAGATGGTACCGAAAAACAAAAGGGCCAACTAGACGGTTTGGTAGCGAAATTGAGTCTGAGCTCGCGATGCAGCGTCTCAGCTCTGCTTGATGCTGCTCGTTGCCATTCGCGCGTGCGTGGAAGGGTAAAAGGACGTCCCTTTTTTGGGCGCTGGCAAATTAGGAGGCTAGTTTTCTCTTTCCCTGGCCCTCAGTCTCGGCCTCTCTTCTCTCCTCGCTGATGGTCCATACGTGCAGCGTAGCTGTTCGTAATGGTGACAAAATTTAATGGGCTTTCAGCGGAAAACCCATTAAATTTTAACGACTTGAGAGTCGTCAAGAAAAGTTGTTTTTCCTTTCCTTAATTTTTTTTGACGCTGCGTCGTAGCGCCCAAGTGATCATTTACATTTTATGCTAGCCTACTATGTCTATTCAAGAAAAAATATTGATTTGAACGCTCGCGCTTACTTTCTATTTTCTTATGCACGTAGTTTACTGCTCTTACTTCGCGTACATGACGATACGTGACGTCGGTTCGTCACAAATTTCATTTGTTAAGGTGCACTTGCATGAAAAAATGGAAAAAAAGGTTATGTGACTGTCATTCATGTACACGATATTGTGGATACAGGGTAAGATTATTTATTCGTGATGTACTTATGTTAGTCCAATTAAATTTGTTTTTTTCAGCCACTCGAAAATAGCATTTCCCGGCCATAACTCAATTAGTGATATTCTAATTTAGGCCTCGTTGAACATCAATATAAAATATAATGGCCTGGTAATCATCGATAACTTGATTTCGCGGGTGTTTTCCGTTAGAGGCGCTGTCTCTCCGAGGTTCAAAGAGTCATCTCACTTCTCACTTAGTCTAAGGTCTTGGGTCTTGAACTCTTGGCAGCGAATTCTTATACAGCTTCTTCCCCTTCTCTATACAGTCTCCATGACTGCTCTGAGTATTGTGCCTCCATTATTCAGTAACGAGACACGAGGATACATAAGTTTGCTAATTTAAAGTTATAATAAGCTTATATATTATAAAAGATATATTTAGTAGATAATATCTGCGTTACGTATGCTGCAATTGTAATAATTCCATTTTTTATAATTAGTCATAGTGTTGGAAGTCCACTTAAACTTGGTTAACAGATATAATTATTTTGAAGTATCATTTACAAAATGGCACGGTATGGTCAGAGGCCAGAGAATGCTTTAAAGCGAGCAAATGGTTAGTATTACTTTTTTAATACATTTTTTCATAAATTTCATACTTGTTAGAAAATTACTTAATATTTGATACAGTAATATAAATTTGAAACAATTTCTTTGAAATTTGTATTGGATTGAAATTATGAATTTTATATATGTTGTTGATTATATAGTAATTTTTTACATTTCTACAAATAAATATTTATTTGAAGTATAGTCAACATGTATGACCCGTTTCAAAAAATTATTTTATGAGCAAAAATTCAAATTATAGATATTGTAATTTTATGTATAGATAGTACTTGTTTACAATTACCAACTTTATGTTACTTATTTTATATAAAAAATGTGTTAATATTTTTACAACTGCTGTTGCATTTTAAAAAAATTTTATTTCACCTACAAGATGAGAAAATTATCTTAATAAATCTGTCAGTGGGTCGAAATATAGATTAATCTTATTGTAAAAATTAAAATTTACCCACATTCAAATTCAATAAACATAACGAAACTTACAATGTAGATTATTGTAATTTAATTTATCATAATTTTAATTATTACTTAAAATTTTACTTGAGACAAAATTAATTCATAAAGTATTTATAGTTTACAATATAAAATAAATTATCTTTATATAAATTTGATTTTGCATTTATACAGCAGGCATTGATTCTTTCTATGAGAATAAAAATGTTAAAAATATTAAGATCTTATTTAATCATAAAATATAAACAGCTACTAAATAGTATACCTACAAAAGTATTCTTTATAAAAAGAATTAATCAATTCTTTCTTGCTTATGGAAATTAAAAGTAATTTGAATTTATTCACTTTACTTTTAACCTTTGAAGATAATTTTATAAGGATCGCATAGACAGAGCCATTCATATCTTTTTATTTATTTCTTTAACAGAATTTATTGAAGTTGGTAAACCAGCTAGGGCTCTGGATACATTACAAGAAGTATTTAGAAATAAAAAATGGACTTATAGTTGGTCAGAATCAGTATTGGAACCAATAATGTTTAAATATTTGGACTTATGTGTGGAGTTAAAAAAGTCACACATTGCTAAAGAAGGACTTTTTCAATATCGTAATATGTTTCAATCAGTAAATGTGGGTAGTTTAGAAAATGTCATAAGAGGTTACTTACGAATGGCAGAAGAAAAAACTGATGCTGCTAGAAAACAAAGTCAGCAGGCAGTAATTGACATTGATGACCTTGATAATTTAGCCACTCCTGAAAGTATTTTATTATCTGCTGTTAGTGGTGAAGACGCTCAAGACCGAAGTGACCGTACTATTTTAACACCATGGGTTAAATTTTTGTGGGAATCTTATTGTCAATGTTTAGAATTATTGAGAACTAATGCTCATGTTGAAACTTTGTATCATGATATTGCTCGGATGGCTTTTCAATTTTGTTTGGAATATAATAGAAAAACTGAATTTCGTAAGTTATGTGAGAAGCTTCGTAAACATTTAGAAGACATAAGTAAACTTCCTCAAATGGTTTCTAATGTTTCAATTAATAAACTTGAAACTCAACAACTAAATTTAGAAACGAGATTGATACAGTTAGATTCAGCTATTCAAATGGAATTATGGCAAGAAGCTTATAAAGCAATTGAAGATATTCATGGGTTAATGAATTTATCCAAAAAAATGCCAGTACCAAAAACAATGGCCAATTATTACCAAAAATTGGCAATGGTGTTTTGGAAAGCGGGAAACTACTTATTTCATGCAGCAGCATTGTTTAAATTATTCCAGCTTTCTCGTGATATGAAGAAGAACATGTCAGTAGAAGAACAACAGCGCATGGCAAATAGAGTTCTTTTAGCAACTCTGTCTATTCCATTACCCTCAGCTCATCCAGAATTTGATCGTTTTATTGAAACAGACAAAAGTCCTCAAGAAAAAGCCCAAAAGCTAGCTGTACTTTTGGGTTTATTACAACCACCATCAAGAGCATCGTTACTCAAAGATATTGTTAGACTGAATGTTGTCAATTTAGCTTCAGCACAGTTACAGCAGCTGTATAATTGGCTAGAAGTTGAATTTCATCCTCTTGAGTTGTGCGATAGAGTAGATAGCGTTGTCAAGAGTTTACAAACAGATGAGTCCAGTTCTTTGCTACAGTACATTCCAGCATTACAAGATGTGACACTTGTTCGTCTAGTGCATCAGGTACTATTATTCATTTTTATATTGCCGACAAATTACAGAAAAATATAATGTTTATAATGGTAAGATGAAATAATCGATTCAATTTACATATAGGTTTCTCAAGTTTATCAGACAATTCAATTTATAAGACTACTTGAGCTAGCTCGATTCGCTACGGCTTTTCACCTGGAGCGACTACTAGTCGATTGCGTTCGCTACAATGACATGCAAATAAGAATTGATCACGGTAAACGGTGCGTGCACTTTGGGGTGGACTTGTCAGAGGCGCAAAGGGAGGATCATCCAGATGGACCGCTGTTACAAGCAATGCCTAGCGAGCAAATCCGTTGTCAATTGGTAAATATGGCAGTCGTGCTACACCGCGCATCCAACATCATTAATCCTAATAAAAAGAGGCAAGAGCGCGAGAAACTGAGGACCCAATTAGTCAGTCACTATCACGAAAGTAAAGTAAAAGAACATCAGCGCATCCTTGGTCGTCATAAGATAATTGAAGAGCGCAAAGAATATATCGAGCATATGAATTTCGTACGCGAGGAGGAGGAAATGCGTAGGCAAGAAGAGTTGCAGCGCCAACAGCTGCTCGCCGAACAAAAACGACTTGAACAGGAGCGTGAAGAGCGAGAACGTAAACGCCAGCAGTCAGAAATACAGCAAATTAAAGACCGTACTCTAAAGGAGAAGATGCAACAGATCTCGCAAACTAGTCACGGTCAAAAGGTGCTCAAGAAACTTGACGAGGATGAAATAAAGAAGTTGGATGCTGAACAAATAGCCGCGCGTGAGGCCGAAGAGCTGCAGAAGGAACGTAAAGAAATGCAGCAGAAACTTAAATCTCAGGAAAAAAAAGTCGACTACTTAGAACGCGCAAAGCGCCTCGAAGAAATCCCATTACTAGAACATGCTATGGAAGAAAAACTCGAACAAGCAAAAGCGCGTTGGGAACAGCAGGAAGCTGAACGTATCCAGGCTGCGATTGAGGAGCGTCAGCAAGCAGTAGCTACGCGTGAGCGCCTTACTCGCATGAAACCCGACGCAGAACTATTTCTAGAACGCATTTTGGCTGAGCGCAAAAGTCTTTATCTTGATAAACTGCGTGCTTTTGAAGAAATACTTAGCCAAGAGCGTGAAAAGCGGCTTATTAAGCGCAAGTTACAGCGTAAACTCGAACGCAAACTTACCTGGGAGAAGGAACGAGCTGAGGCAGCTGAACGCAAACGACTTGAAGAACTACGTCAACGCCAAGAGGAGGAACGCCGACGCATGGAAGAGGAACGAGCTAAACGAGAGGAAGAAGAGCGTGCAAGGCGTGCTAAAGAAGAGGCAAAAGAAGCCGAACGCTTAGCTAAGCTGGAGCGTCAAGCCGAAATTAGCCGTCTCAAGGAAGCAGAAATTGAGCGTAAACTAGAGGAAGAACGACTTAAACACGCGAGTATAGATAATCCCAAAGCTAGTCAACAGACTAGTTGGAGAAAGCAGCGTAAGTTGGTCTTATCATTCTATAACTACTTGCATTTTATTGTTTCCTTTATCATCTATTACATTCAAGTTAAGCCATGCCATTACGTTATACTTACAGCAACTGATAATGCAAGTTGGCGCAGAGACGACGAGAGTAGATTCAAAGACAAAGATGAGAGCTGGAAATCCACCGAGCGCAGCGATCGTCCAGGTCGCAGAGAATTCCCTGAAAAAGATCGCAAATACGATCGTACTCACTCAACAGTAATATCCATTGTTTATTATATATACTATTTGATTTTTTATCAAACAAATTTGATGTTTTTTCTGTTTAGAATGCATCAGGTTCTTGGTATGACAACCGTCGTGATAGAGCTTCAGAACGCAGAGAATACCATCGTGGTGAAGAGTCGCGACCTGTTATGGAAAATTGGCGAAATTCTAATCTATCTAAAGATTCACAAAAGGACCTTCACAAAGATTTGGACAAGTAATTTAAATTATAATATGAACGTTATTTGATAATATCAAAGAATATAAAATATCACATTCGGTTAATATTATTTTAGGAAAGAATCAATTCAACCAATGAATAGAGACGATAAGAAAACAAGTCAGGTAAGCGAAGAAGCTGCTGGGTGGTCTAGAGTGAGCAACCGGCGTTGAATTATGTCATTTCTGATAAACGTAACTTGGAAACATTTTACTTGACATCTTGTTCAAAATATGGTAAATATCCGTAAGATTATATTAAAGTATCTACATGAATTCTTTATGTATTCATTTTAATTCGTTTGAGTTTATAATTAATAAAATATGATCATAAAAAAATATTTATTTGCTTTCAATTCCTCAAATATTTTCGTAGTTTCTGATTCTCTTTTTACTCAAACACCTTTGTGTAGGAAAACAGTAAAATTATATGTGAAAGTAGGTATTTATATAAATACTTAAAATTAATTTTCTTGCAGCAAGCAATGATTGTACATTGATTGTTTTAATTTTCGAAATCAATGACGTTAGTAGAGTTTCCTACTAAAAACAAGTTAATAAGTTTTTCATTTTCTTTTGATTCCCCTTTTAACTTGTGTAAACATTTGCATTCCTATGTTTATATAAACCATGGTGGTATTACGTGCGATGAGTATTTGCAAAGGCGTCATTTCTTTAGTGTTTTTAATATGCGTGTATCATGCCTCAAAAGTATATTATTATAAATTCAATGTTGGTATATTTTACAGTAATATATAATGCTGTAAATCCCCGGATAAAAAGGGGAGTCAGGTTTAATAATCTGATTAATAAACGCTTCATTGTTTATAAAAAAATTAACAGCTTCTACATCGTTCAGTATGTGAGCTACATGAAAATGAGAAGATTCAAATTTGTTGTAAACTTTCTCTAAATTAAAGAATGCTATGAAATCATTTGTCTACATCAGGTGAGTGGATTGGTACACGTGGTGAAGAAGAATTATAGTATTCAGAAAAAATTTCTTTTGGAAAGAATTATAGCATTTTGATAATATTTATAATTATTTTAAAGCTACTTTACTACTTTATAGCAAACCAATCTTTCGTAAACTACAATTCAATTTGATTTTTCATTTTATAAGGACATTCTTATGGCTGTAGGGGTGCTCAAACGCAGCTACGCGTGAAAGAATGAGTTACTTGCGTTTATTTTGTGTTTAATAAGAGGATTATATACAGATTAAAACGGAAAAATTCAGAGCTACTCCTTAGAGTATATTTTTTTATAATTGCTTTACAAATTTGATATATGCTTTTGTTTATTCATAAGAAATTATAACCTTAAAAATTACAAAACGTGTAACTTTGATCAACAATACTATACGTGGGTACAGAATTAACTCGCTCTTACTCCACACTGCGACAGCACCGGCGAAAACAGTCACTCAGTGATGAGAATCCGATGATGCTACCATAAATTTTATTTTCACAAAGTTGTGTCGTGTCTATATCATTTATATATAACTACGATCAAAATTCACAGCCGGCAAGTAAGTAACACCCTTTACTCCAGCCCACAAAGTGTAGTAGACAGTAAAAAAAAAATACCGTTCAAAATATCTCTGATTGAACCCTAAAAAAATGTCTATGTTAGAGGACCTGCGCGTGGACGCAGGACTAACCGACGACGAGGTGCTATGTTCAGTATCAGAAGTACTCGAAGGCAACACGAGGGAAAAGGACGATAACAACAAGCACCAATGGCTCAGCTACAGCAAATTTATCGTCGACGCACGAGAATGGTTCGGAACCAGTACGCAACAGCAGCAAAGGCTGTTGCAGGAAGCGCAGAATTGGTTTCAGGGCGAGGATGAGTTGGTAAAGGGCTACGTGTCCAACCTGGTAGCTCTCGTCAACCGGTTAGAGCCACCAATTCTATTGGAAAGACTGGTAGACCTGCTACACATTAACATCTTGCCCAACATCCAGATACAATATCTGCATCGAAGTGAGTTGACGTCGATACGCGAATTTAATAGAAGGGCAACCGAAGTACAAAATATATTGTCATACGGTCGACGACCACACGTATTTGCCGACCCGAATTCGACGATCTTCCCTCAATCCGAAGCCAAACCGCCGCAGTCATAGGTGATGGAAAATGACGTGGAAGGAAGGAAGGAAGGAGATCAGCAGCGGGATCAAGAAAAAGTGGAGAACCCTACCAGGAGACCCACCAGATAGACAGCGGTATCGGTTGCGCAGACCTCTAATTCTGATAAGAAAATGGAGGAGCGACTGAAGGGCATAAAGCAAATTCTACGAAAAATAATGATAGGAATACGAGACAGCCCTTCGAAACAGCACAAAAGTCGATGGCAAGGGAGAAGGAAAAGTCTGAGTCCTGAGTCTTCTGGCGAGCGGCGAGATGGTTAGAGGCAAAAAATCGACTATACTAAGCCTCTTCAATGTTCCGCTTGTGGCAAACTAGGATTTAGCCGAAAATTCTGTCCAGATTGCAACAAGGGAAACGGCAAGGAGAGCGAAGAAAAAAGGTCATCTCCGCGTCTCCAGTGAATTCGATTTCTCGCTGCGGGTCGTCGACAGAGAAAGGTAAATTGTCGGCGACCCCGGGATCCAAACAAGTTCTAAAAGGGCACCGAGAATGCCCAGGAGCAAGCAGTGTGATAGAGCAGATGGTGAACGAACCTGAAGCCAGCCCTCGGCAGAACAGTGGGATGTTCATTATCTTGGAAGGGCCAGGAGGCCGTAACCAGGTAGTAGAGAAGAAGACACGATCCATAAGAGAAGCGTTAGACCCGAAGATCTGGAAAGGTCGGGTAACTCCACACAGGAAGCTCTCATGTCTAAGCAGTCTGCGAGTAAGAACATAAGAGCATAAAGGTCGCCATAACGCCATTGCTTACGGATGACTGCTATGTTGGCGCGAACTCTATATGGGCGTTCCACGCGGTTTTGAATCCCTATGAGGACCATTTATAGTTGGAGGGTGTCCAGGTGGAATAACATGTATCGATAGTACGGCGTGTCTTGCACCGATAAGACTGTGAGAAGCCGCGGAAAGACAGCTCGAGGAAGTTGAAGACCTTATCAATAGACTAATTCCGGATGGAGAAAAGGTATTGGGCTGTGCCGTGAGGGTTGAGCATGAAATATATGTTATAATAATATGCAATAAAAGTGCTCGGCCCATTAAACAAAAGTACTACCTGGTGTCCGACAACGAGCAAGAGGAAATGCATGCGCTGGTCAAGGATATACTGGAGAAGGATGTTATCGAACCAGCGATCAGTGAGTGGTCAAGTCCGGTAGTAATGGTGAAGACGGTTGATGGGAGGTATAGGTTCTGCGTTAATTACCAAAAGGTGAACTCAGTGACCAAACCAGATGCTTATTCTCTATCGTTTATCAACGACATTCTTAGGAGGACCAGGGATGCCAAGTTCATATCAACACCGAACTTAAATAGCGCGTACCATCAAATTCCCCTAAAGGAAGAGTCACGTTCGATCTCAGCATTTACAGTACCAGAACTAGGGCATTTCCAATTTAAGAGGATGTCCTCTGGACTGTCATATGTTGGAGCGACCTTCAAAATATTGATGGACAGAGTGGTAGGCTCAGACTTGGATCCATTTGCCTTCGCATACCTCGACGACGTGATTGTTTTATCATCGTCTTTCAAGGAGCATAAATCACACCTTGAAAAGGTGTTAAAGCGAAACTTGGGTACGGGCCTCACCATCAACAAAACCAAAAGCCACTTCTGTAAAGTGGGTAAGTAAGATACACGAAAGTAAGGTACTTGAGTATCCTCGTTAATCAGGACGGAGTAAGACCAGATCCTGAAAAGGTAAAACCGATATTGGAATATCCTACACCATGGACATCGAGACAGGTGAAGCAATTCATGAGCATGACGTCGTGGTATAGCCATTTTATACCGGATTTCTCCACGATTGCTGAGCCTATAAACCGCCTGACGAAGAAAAACGTTTGTTTCTCCTGGGAGGATGAACAAGAGCGAGCTTTCGCGAGGTTGCAGGAGGCGATGACTTCTGCCCCAATACTGCAACCACCTGATCCTTGCGGTCAGTTCGTGTTGCAGATTGATGTCAGCGATAGCAGGATCGGAGTAGTCCTTACGCAGAACGTCGATGGAGATGATCGTGTGATTGAGTACGCCAGTCGATCACTAAACAACGTTGAAAGGTCTTCAAGAGAGAGTCCCTGGCAGTAATATGAGCTATTGGAAAGTTCTGGCCGTACATTGAAGAGCATGACTTCAAGGTCATCACGTATCATAACTGCCTTAAATGGCTTTATAGTATGAGAAACCCCACAGAAAGGCTAGCGCGCTAAGCGCTAGCATTACAAGGCAATGTATTCAATATCGAAAATTTAGAAGAGATTTCAATGTGGTTCCAGATGCTTTATCTAGGATCTATGAGGAGAAGGGGACTGAAGTGAATGCCATGACTAGCCAGCCGGAAACTACAGATGCTTGGTACTTGCAACAATACCGGGAGGTATGCCAGGATCCGCACTCCCATCCCATACGGAAAGTGGTTGGAGGAAGACTGTACCATTATCAGCCTAATGAGGATGGCGCAGAATCCATCGACATTAAGAAGGCGTGGAAACTCGCGGTGTCTATGAGAAAAGACACCAGGCCATCAAGGACGAGAGCGAACGTATTCCAGGGCTAGGCGCTTGTACTATTGACCTAAAATGTATGATCAGATCAGAGAGTACGTTAAGAGTTGCTCTGTATATCAACAATGCAAGGTGGAGCAAAGAGTACCTTGTGGACTGATGGGTTGTTAACGGGTGTCGCGACCCTGGCAGGTGGTGGACAGCGATATCACAGGACCATTCCCGAAAAGCTCAAAAGGTTTTGAGTACGTCCTTGTCTTTGTAGACCTTTTTACTCGCTGGGTGGAATGCGCAGTAGTACGCAAGATGAATGGGAAGACAATCGCGAGGGAGTTACACGAGCGGTTTGTTACAAGATTTGCCGTGCCAAAAGTATTCTTGTCGGATAATGGAACCGAATTCGAGAATCAGGAAGTCGATTCATACCTTCAGAGGAACAGCATCGGGCCAATTATTCCGAACAAGCGACGGGGAGTGACTGGAAGTCGACGAGGACTAGGCGCCTGGGTACGGGTGAGCGAGGGAATGCGTAAATCGCTGGGATGCAGCGTAGGGTAATACTTATATTACGATGTTTCTTAGTACTTTCTTTTAGTCTTACAAATGGACTGGAGAAATGTTATCAACGAGGAGACCTTCGGAGTAGTCACCTA